GATAAACAAAAGAAATTTGCGGGAAACACAATTCTAATTTTTTAACATTTTTCCTTTTTTATTTTTTGAGTTAAAAATGTATAAACATTTTTCTTTTGATGTCCAAGATTTGAAAATGTAATACAAGATTCCTTTTAAGATTTCCTACGTTTAAAACAAATCAGTCTATTTACCCATAAAACAAACATTTGAAAAAAAAATTATATTCATTTAATATAATTCATTGTATTTAATACATTTCTTTATTTATATTTTTTTATATAATTTTTATTATTTTAATTTTAATTTTAATTTGTTTTTATATTTTATGTTTATATTTAATATTTTATTATTGACAAATTTTACAAATTCTCATACCACGATTTTCTTATTGTGTTGCTATTCAAAAACTAAAAACTGTAGGTAAGTACTTGAAATTTTTATCAAATGTTTATTTTGTCATTTCCTATGCATACACAAATTTTCAAAATATTTTGACTTGTTCTGACTTATTTATAGTCTATAGACAATTGAAATTTGAGATATTTTGGTTGTTTCTTCAATAAATATCAATAAAATTGTTTTCATTGAGTAAAAAAGTTCAAAAATGTAATTCAAGATCACTCGTAATAGTTATATTAGCATAGCAGTTGAGATATATTTTCAAATGTGGGTGAAAACTGAAAATACATATTAAAATCAAGATTAACGGTTATCGCTATTTAATTGTATTAAAAAAAATATTATTCATGTACCTTATATTTTATACAAGTTATGAAATTTTCAAATGAAACTGTTTCGCCAAAAATTAATTCAACCATTATATTACTATTGTCTAATATAGTAAAATAAATATACCCATATCATAAAATAAACTTAGTAATATAATCTGAGAGCTGACAGACCGTCTATGCATGATTTAATATCGTTCTATTTAGTAAAACAACAGTTTAATCGTATAGTTACAACAGTCAAGTATGATTTGTTTAGTTATTTTTATATTATTTTTTCTTATGAAAAATTAAATATTGTGTCATGCGTATAAGATGTATATGACGAGTAGTGTCTATTAAGTAAATAACCTGTAGTCAACAGTATATTAATAATTTAATTTTTATGTAAATAAGTGAGTTCACTTTTTACATTGTTTTTATTACTCATAAATAATAATATATACCTACTGCTATAATATTTAAGAGATCTCCAAATACTACACACAATTGGGACTACAGAACACAACCATTTGTGGGTGTGGCACTGTGACGTCCTCTACATTCAAGCTACGAAAGTTGATGAAATTATTAAATTAAATATACTCGTAAATATGTAGTAAAATAAAATTATAACAATTAAATAAATAACTATCCGAAAACAGCTATTTTATAAAAATATGTACAGTCGTATAGAATTCACAAGACTAAACATGGTTTTCTTTATTTTATTTAGAATAGTTAATATCAGATTATTTATTAGGTAGATGGTGATCTTGATATGCTTACGTATGACACCACGACTGATATTTAAAAAATGTATCATTATAAAGTAACATAATATTCATGTTGTGACTTGTGACAATATACTATATATACCACACGATCTTATTTATGTTCCCCATAAACTGTAAGGAAGTTCATAAAAATAGTATTAAGTAATATCCCAGTTACCGTACTCTTTTTTGAAAAGAGGCGCATTATAATGGCTAATTCCCGCTTCTCGAACTCTCATTCAAATGCATATAGGTAATAGGTACCTTTATGTCGTATATTTAACTAAAAAATTGATCAGTTACAGTCAATAATTATAGTCAATGTAGGCAAATGGGTGAATTAGTCATAGAACATAATTTTAATATTATATTTTTAAAATTATTAGTCTGAATTAATTACAATTTAATTATACCTAGCTGATAAGAATATTTATATAAAACATGTTAAGAGACAACTGCCCAAACACAAGTAAACTTTCTTCTCCTTTATGGACTATAAATAGATATTATTAGACAATTTTATTTAGAAAACAGACTTTTTTTCTTGAAACTTTTTCCTGATAAAATTTTTACGGGACTTTTTTCTCGCTAGAAGGGACTCAAGCTTGTATTAACATTTAAAAATATAACAGAATAAAATGATTATAGATATTATGTGGTTATATGTATAGGTGTACGATATACGTAATACTGTACGAGGTATCTTATTATTAAGTGTACATTGTTCAAAGGTCAGGTTAAGCTAGCACAATATTTTAACAATTCCAATGAATAATGATAAAGATTAGTGTGCTAAAAATAAGTTTTCCATTTCCGGTGTACCAGAATAAGCTCCAAATTCAAAATGATAGTGTTAGAGAACGCTATAAATAGTTATGATAATGGATTTATATTAGACTAATAGAAGTCAGAATATCTACTAATTATTGTATCGAATCATTTTAGTTCACAGTTCAACTTCAACATAAGATACCTAGGTTGCTAGGTACATATTTTTTGATTATTATAATTTTTTATTATGATATTAAACATGACAATTAGGATGATTTGTTCGAACGCGGGAAAAAAAGACCACTGGAGAAAAGCCAAGAAAAAAAATGATAGGAACACGTATATAATCTACTCCTAATTAGTAATTAACGTGTAGCGTATAACAAAATATAATGAAAATAATGTCACAAATTATTATCAAGTGAAATTTTTGTATAAATGTAATATGTATAATATTATATGTAGACTATATTATATGATTTTGACTAAATATATTATACTACCACGACCACCTGTTTTGTATTAACTTATTGTACTATTATTTTTATAGTTTATAGTGCAATTTTTGTATAAATGTATTAGTATATATTATATTCCTAAAATGTTATACTTACCTATATCCCTTATGTTTTTTGACTTATAACTTATTACACTGTATATATGTTATGTGCAGATGAGTTCATATTTTCATTTAAATTTCTTTACTACTAAAAGTTGTTTTTTATACATAATTAATAGTTGAGCATAAGCCATATTCAAACTTGAGATTTTTTATACTTGGAATTTTTCATTGAATTAATAGGTTCAAAAAAAAGTTTCTTATTAATTGAGTATCCGCTTATTGCTAATAAAATTGCCTATATTGGCTACATACTTTATGAATTGTTAATTACTAATTAGGAGTATAGTATAGGACCTACACTCTACTCCTAATTTATGAAGTGTATGGAAAAAAACATTTTAAAATATGCTTGATTGTCGGTAAGATAACGCTTGTGGACATGGAGCTATTTGCTATTATTAGCTATTAGCTATTATTTCGCAATATGCTCTCATTTGATAACGAGCTGGTCGCGCCGGTCGGTAAATATAACTATGTAATAAATTTCAAAAATTATAAATTAACAGTAAGGCAATAAACGGGATTAATATGGAACATACTTGAAATTAAGGGATAAAAAGCGTCCTGAGAGAAATTTGTCAGAACAGGACACAAAGCCGAAATAAAAGACAATCCTTTATAAAACAGGACGTATGGTTACCCTAGTATGGGTACTCGTGTTCACATTTATATTTAATTTTTTTTCTGTGCTTTTTTTTTCGTGGACGAACATTATTATTTGTATTAATTTTTGTACATTTTTGGGATATTATAATAATATACATATTACATAATACCTATTTATTAATCTTATACTTAGACTTGATTTTCTTCACTGATGGAGTTCACATGGACCCAATTTTACCTGTTTTTTTTCCTGACGTAGTTTACGCTGAAAAAAGGTACTTGTGGTGGATAACAAAAAACAAATTTTTATTTATTTCAAAAAGCAAATGAATAAATAAATATATTGAATATTTTACTTAAATACATTTTTTATTGGTTTTCAATAAATAAGACCTAACCAACCACTACAAAAACAATAACTAATTTTTAGTTATAAACTACACAATTAAATGTGTAAATTTAACTTTAACGCACCACAAAATACAACAAATCACTTATCTCATTGTTTTTTTTGACGTGTAAGTTTAAAAGTAAAAACTGCTCAATATTACATACCTATATGCACAACAGTGCATAATATTGCGCTTGTGGCGGTCATCAATCATAATAATAGAACATATAGAAAATTAAATTATACAGAAATTTAAAAAATATTGAGATTAATTTTAAGTTATTTATACGACGAACCTATTCTACCATATTCTATACGGTATACGCCGTACAGCGTCTGTATTGACTTATATTATGTATAAATAATATTAAATATGTTAATAATAGTTGTTAAGTTATATTGTATAAAATAATATTCTAAGAATTATTACCTATATATCAATATATGTATGTGATTTGTTGTTGGTGAAAAGTGAAAATTAGTTCATCCTATACATACCTATTACTAATAGAAAAATAAATTACTACAACATAATTATATTAATATTACATATATAATTAAACATCCTTTGAATTATATAGATGTCAGCTTGTCTAAATTAGGCTCAGAATGATTTTTCGTATGCAATGATTGTCATTAAATTCATTTGTAATTTGTAATACATAGATTGCAGTGACCTACTCTATGTGAGATTCACTTGTCACTTTCTTTAGCAGAATGACCTCCCCGGATCTTAACTTTCATCACTCATTTTAGTAACATTTAACAAAAAACACTAAAATAAATATTTGTTTCACCTATATTTTATTAAAACATTGCAAATTAAAGTTTGAACCCGTTAACAGAAGTAAACTATAAACATAATAAATCAAAGACGAGTTTCGCTTACCAATTTGTATGTATTAAAATAAACAAATCATTTCATTAAAATTGTAAGTAGGTATTTAATATTTATCCTCCGACTAATCCCACTCACTAATCAGTAGTCACTTTATTATTTTTGGATGTAACTATGGAAGTACTAGCTAGGTAGGTATATAAATTATTAAGTGGGGATTACTATAGTTCGCGTTGAACTGGGCTTTGGCCTTGGCTAATGTAAAATATGTTTTGATAATTCGCATCTGTATTTTTATGTTGTTCAATTATGTTATACCGTTAGACGTACGACGATCGGGCTAAATAGTTAGGCATCAGTTATAACTTGTGTATCAGAGAGAGTGAACTGCAGTTCATTCTCGTTGTTAGTCTTAAAATTAATTTATTGTACTAATACGTATACACAGTACACACTAAAATCAAATAATTGAAATAAACTTTTGTTGTGTTTTTTTCTTATACTTTATCAATAGTAAAATGGTTTTATATTATGTTTCTCGAATAAAATTATTTAATAAAGATGTTATATAAATTGTAAAAATGTTAATTTAGGTAACATTTTGTTGTTCCTAGATAGAAAAGCAAATCCACTAAGAAATTTTATTTCTACAACATACGAATATTTCTACATAATAAATAATGGTAAGTATAATGTTAGTTATGTTTAGTTAGTTTTGCACGTACGTTTTAGAATTTGTTAATACATTTATGTTAATGATAATTAGTATTTAGTAGGTACCTACAGTTAGAAATTTAGCATTGAGTATTAACGTATTAAATCTTATAGTATAGGTAGGTAATTAAAAATTAGCTTATAAATTATAAGATGTAAATGATAATAGCAAAGTAGGAAATCTGGGAACTGTGCATTATGCTTAAAAATGTTGGTCTACGTATAAGAAATTATCATTATAATTATTTTAACAATCCAATTTTTCATACATTGACCCTGGCATTATACAAGAGTGTCCGGGCACAGCGTGCCCTGCCTGGATTCAAGCGGACTAAGTGAATTAAATATAGCGCACTGAGCACACTATAATAATAATATATCGAATGTCATTCATACGTAATAAGTACCTGGATCTACATACTATTTTAATTTTTAATAGCAAAATGTAAAATGTCCATAAGACATCAATAATTTAGTTTCACATATTTTGTTTTTATAAAAATCACGTTAATAAATTAGCTATGAATTAAAACATTTAAAAAAATTGGAGTTATCCCTTACAGTTTTATCATTTTTAAAAACATTTCAAAACGTTATCAAGTGATACAAATGTTATTTTATTTTTATTTTGATGTGTGCATGTAGGTAGATAGTTTCATGTAGGTATTTGAATTTCGATCATATGTTTTTTTTATGCAATACATTTTTGTGATACAGACCATTTTAAAACACTATGTATAGATTTTAAACTAAACAAAATATTAATAATAGATATATTAGACTTTATTTAGATGTCTTATTCATAGAACGTCAAAATTAGAAAGTTATTAATATTATCTATACCTACGAGACATGATACGTAGTTGATTCATTCATTGTGTATTTTATAATTCAGTTTTATTTTTAGTAAAATAGAATATGACGAATTATTTTTATTTTTATGTTGAAACAAACTAAATTATTTCATAATAATAAAGTCTATTCAATTATTATTATTATAATTTTAATTTGTTTCTTTATATTACCTTTTAATGGTAGGTACTTTAACCAATACGGCATACACTCTATTCGTAAATACGTTTATATTTAAAATGGATAACAATCAAGAGTCAACAGTAGCATGTCAATTAAATTTTTATGTATTACCTACTTTCACGTCTACATATTTTGTATATTGATCATTGGACATTGATCATGTCTTATGAAACTAATGTCATACATATGTTGAATTATTATCATTATATTTTAAAATCAAAATTTTTTGTTGGGTGTCATACCTATTTTAAAACATTTATTAATGTCCAGATGTACTTATAACAAAAAAACAATGACATTTTCAAAACATTTCGTCTAATTCATAGCTTTTTAGATTTATACCACTTACCAATTTATACTTTTGTGTATGGTACATCATTTGTATTGATTTGTTTTGGGTTGCATAATTATACTTTATAGGTCATTCAGTAACCAATATATTTTTTACTCAACCAGGAGGTAAACTCGAAAGTGTAGGTATACTTATTTATTTTTAGTTTCGTAATTTATCCTTCTTAATTTAACTGTCAATATTTAAAAAAAATAAGTAAATGTAATATTTGTATTTGTTTTTTTTTCAAAAATTTTTTATCAAAAAATAAATGTACAAATTAGTTTTCAATGATATAATTTTTCGATTATCTAGTCAATTGCTATGATTGTGTTGGAGGTAGAGAACAAGATATTTTTTCAAAATAAGATTGCAAATTATAAAACTAATAAACAAATACAATTCAGTAATATTCAACATAACATAAAAGCACATGAATAAAAAACTATATTAAAATAAAAAAAGCATCAATAGCATGATGTATACAATAATAGTTAGGTTTATGGTAAATTACACAATGATCATTAATTTATTACTCTACTTTTTTGATCCTTGTTTTTATACTATAATAGTTATTGTTTTCAAAATCCAATTAATTAAAATTATTAAATATAGTAGGTTAATATTGTCACTATAATATCATATTGCTCAAGATAAATTATTTAATGGTTGAAAATTTAATAATTCTTATTGTTTACATTATGAAATATTTAAGTAACTGATATCCCTATATTAACCAATCACATACATTTATCAGTAGGTACCAGGTACCTCTCTTATAATATTATAATGTCTTTAGATTAAATTTCTACGAAAATGTTCCATAAAAGGTATAAAGTATGTCAATAAGACAATAAATAATAATGATGTCAATGTTAAATATATATATTAATATAAAAATACATTGGCAATATCATTATTATTCATTATGTTGCATCACTTTTTGAAGAAAAAAATCTATGTAATATACTTACATATGATACTTATTTACCTATAATAAATTTATTTTTATTTCTTAAATATTAAATAATTTGTTTGGAGTAAAAGTCGTTTTTTATTTTATAAGTTAATAAAACTATATTGTTGCCTGCACGGCTGCACATATAATTTAAAAACATAATGTTGGGGATGAAGGTCCAGCTGTCAACTAAACTGGGTGACGGGAAAACACCTCTTTGACGGGTGTCAACTAGCTGAATGAGACTGAATAATTTATAGGCATAATATTGGCCACTTGTTTTTTAATAGTTATAATTATTATGATCATCAATATGGGAATAATTTATTAACAAATAGTAATAAAATCAGAAAATATATTGACTAAGTCAACTACACCCTAATGTAATAATATACTATGAATTGGTACACTAAAATAACTAGGTAATAACTAAACAGTATAACAACAGCCAAAATTGTTTGGTATAAGCATCCCTCCAAAAATTGAACCTTTAAATTTCATAGGAAGAATTAAATAACCACAATATTGGTACTTACATAATAACATATTATTGAATTATTCAATATTTACAATATTAGCAAGTTCATCCACGAATGAAAGTATTCTTTTTCGCGAATGGGTCAAATTTACCGTGAAGATTATCACGATTAGTAAACCGGTTTACTGTTTACATGTTTACATGACACAGTAAAGTAAATTATAAATAGTGAGTACAATATTGTATTTGCTACTACAAAACCTTACAAAACCTTACAAAACCTTGAAATACCGTGTTCATGAATATTACTCTTTTCCATAGTTCACGGATGAGTTGATTTTATTTATATATTATATTAATTTATGAGTAGCAGTAAATAATTCTTAACGTATAAAAGCATCAGTTTTTTTTAATAAAATGGATTAAAGCCATTTAAAAAAACTAATCCTACAAGACATTATTTACTTCGTTGTTACATCCATAACATCTAAGAAATATACTTCTCTACTTATGAATTTATGATATTTACACTAATATTTTAATTATTTTAGATACTTATTAATATAAGTACCAAGTGCCATAATTCTTAAATAAAAATGTTTATGGGCATTATTTTTTACTACCAAGTGTCCAAGTACCATAAAGTGAATAGTGACTACATCAATGTAAAGCTAATTAATTTAAATTTTTGTTCGACTCAGAATTTAAAATGTGTTTGTCAATAATCCAATTTACCTATCAGCAGTTGAATTCAGAATTCAGCAGTAGACCAGCATTAAAGCATAACTGTACACTATAGTCTATAGTAGGTTAATATTATAGTATAAAATATATATTATACTATATACCATTATTAATTAGTACCTTTACGCCCAACTACCCAAATACCCAGTATAAACTTAAATAGTTTATATTTACATTTAATATTTTTAACAAATTTTACAAATTCTCAAACCACGATTTTCTTATTGTGTTGTACTTCAAAAACTAAAAACTGTAGGTAGGTACTTGAAATTTTCATCAAATATTTATTTTGTCATTTCCTATACGTAAAGAAATTTTGAAAATATTTTGACTTGTTTTGAGTTATTTATAGACATTTGAAATTTGAATTTTTTTTATTTTATTCTATAAATGTCAATTCAATTGTAATCGTTGAGTAAAAAAGCTCGAAAATGCAATACTGAAATATTATTCGTAGGTGTATGAAAGTTTTAGAGTAAAATATTATATTTAATACACTCAATGAAATTTTCAAATGAAACTGTTTTGGCAAAAGTTAATTCAAACTACTATATTACTATTGTATAATAGTAAAATAAATTTCTTTAAAAGCAATAGTGTATTACAATCATAAAATAAACTTAGTAATATAATCTGAGTGCAGGCAGATATGTTATAACCAGATATGATTTTATTTCGTTTTATTTGGTAAAATAAGAGTTTAATCGTATAGTTACTACAGTCAAGTATGATTTGTTTAGTTATTCTTATATACATTTTTCTTATGAAATAAAATTTAAATATTATGTCATGTGCAAAAGATGTATATGATGAGTAGTGTACTAGTGTCTATATAACCTATATATAACCTAACCTGTATTAACAATTTAACTTTTAAATAAATAAGTGAGTTCACTTTTTACATTGTATTTAGTACTCATAAATAATAATGTTTACTGCAGTAATATTTAAGAGATCTCCTTACTACACAAAATTGGGACTGCAGAACACAACAATTTGTGGGCGTGGCACTTTGACGTCTTCTACATTCAAGCAACGAAAATTAATGAAGTTATTAAATTAAACATGAATACGAAGTAAAAAAAAATCATAACAATTTAATAAATAATTATTCAAAAACAGCTATTTTTAAGAAATATGTTTGGAATATATAGTCGTATAAAATTCATAATACCAAACATGGTTTTTTTCTCCCTTGTCGCAAGATTGTCTTTATTTTCTTTAGAATGGTTAATATCAGATTATTAATTAGGTAGGTGACAGAAATCATTATAAGAAAATATTTAAACATAATATAAATAATAAAGTAACAAATAAATCTAATAAGATATCATCACAATTATTTATCATAAAATATGTTTATTGTGTATAGCTTTTATAGTCTTATATAGTCTTTTATAGTACTTAACTTATATTTTATTTCTATTTATACAGGCATACCCAAAGTCAGTGTGGTTTATCATCTGCACAGAGTTTTGTGAACGATTTTCCTACTATGGACTTCGAAGTACCTATGTTTTTATTTAAAATATTATAAAATATTAGTTTATTTGTTTTTATCATTTATGGATGAATTGTCTCGTATATTAGCTGTTTTAGTATTATATCTCACATCAATATTGCAATACGATGAAGACGAATCCACTATTATTTATCACATGGCTGTCTTTATGGCGTATTTTTCACCACTATTTGGAGCTATTCTATCTGATTCTTTCTTGGGAAAATTCAAGTAAGTATAGTACATTAAGAGATAGTTATTATTTATACATTAAAAAATCATAACGATTCAGATTAATCATTAGATGTTGTAGGTCGGACGATAAAGTCATAATATCTTCCAGTCCAGATCCTATTATAGCCTCCACAAACCTACAAAACCATCTTTCATTAATTGAAGATTGGTATAAAAAGTGGCGTTTTAAAATAAATCAAACCAAATCAGTACATACTACATTTACACTTAGTTTAGCACCATGTCCAGAGGTATCCCTTTTTGGTACTCAGATCCCCTCATCCCAAACGTTAAATATCTCGGCCTAACTCTTGACCGCCGTCTAACCTGGGCTCACCACATCAAAGTCAAAACTTCACAATTAAATTCCCGCTTACAAATAATCAAAACCCTAATAGTCAACAACAAACACTCTAAATTAAATATTAAACTACTTCTTTACAAATCTCTTTTAAAGCCAATTTGGACGTACGGCTTACAGCTATGGGGTAACGCAAAAATATCAAATCTAAATAAAATTCAACGATTCCAAAATAAAATACATAATAATAATTTAAAAAACATAAGTGTCATCGGTGGGTGGCTTCTTAGCTCATAATTTCATGTTTTTTATTGTGTCTCAGCTCATAATCTTATTGTGCCGTTTGTGTACAGATGGTGTATTACTAATAAAGAAAAAAAAAAGATGTTGTAGGTAGGTATTTGATATTTTTTCTTATTGTTCTAAATTCTAATATGAAACTGTGTCAACAACTATAACTCTGGTTAATTATTGTATGTAGATGATTCACGAAATTTTATTTTGCTTATTGTACTAACTTAGCCTTTTAAACTATATTTTTGATATCTTCGCATTTAAATTGATTTATATACTAAGTAATTAATTTGTTTTTTAAATCATTGTCTTATTTTAAAATATCTATTGTTCAACTATATGTGACTCAACACAAAATGCCAATGCAAAATCACTGCCAATATTCCTTTTAAATCGATCAGATTTCATTTAAAACCAATTTCCTCTCTATACATTAATTACAATATCAATATTTACATTTTACAGTTTAAACTATATTATGAAATTAGAACAAAATTACCCAATTATTTATATTTCTTGCTTCTTGATAATGCTATAAATTTTTCATATTAAAATATTCTAGTTTCTATCCCATCAGCTGTTACTTTACCTCAATATATCTATATACCTATTCCTTCTCAACGTCTTAAAATAAAATGAGCTCACAGTCTGTTCAAGTAAATTACAACAAAAAAACTCCAAGTTTTATTTATTTAAATAGTCACTGTTAATATACACCTTCATATTTCCTATACTTATTATATATTACATATATCCAAGGGCATGTGTTGCGACCCTCCCTATTATGTACTACTATATGGTTAGCTTATAGTATAGTTGTAAAAGTATACTTGTATGTAGATTGTAAACGTATAATTAATCATTTCTTTACTGAAAATAAGAAAAAATATTATTTATTTATCCATATTATATGTTTAATGTTTATTTCATACAACTATTCTTTTTTTCAGAACTATAGTATATCTTTCACTAATTTACGCAGTTGGAAATTTAGTCATAACTGGGTCATCTTTGGCAGTTTCATTTAGTTTAAACAACCAAAGGTAATAAATAATAATATTTGTACTATTAAAGAAACAATTTTTTTACGGTTATTATAATAATATGTTTGACTAAAAGTAGATAGTACTATTCTGGAAATAAATATTAAAAGAAAATTATTTTTAATTATAGGCAATTAAATCAACATGGTTTTTAGTTACAATGATAAAAACATATCACATATTGTATTGACTATCGATAACATACATCTATATCATAAATTCTTAATGTTTATAAAAAAATGTTCTGCTTTTAAAATATTTGTGAATTGTTATAGTCTACGCAATGGTGATTAAAAAAAAACATTAATAACTGTGGTTCAATATTTTAGGTTTTTATTATTATTAAAACCACCATAACGATTATCATTAAGTGGATATTTTAGATGGATTTGAAATTTCTGTTTTAACAATTTGTCAATATATGTTATATTATAGTTTACCAATTTTTATGATGTAGATGCTCATCGGAAAAAAATGGCTATTTCCGAAAAACAATTATTTTGTGGATTATGTAGTAGGTTAGTCTTATGAATTCGGTATTTTGGTATATTGCATATTGGCGCGCAGTGTACATTATGTCTTTTAACATGAATAAAAAATAAGGCTTAACTTACATTATACCTTTTTAATATGGATACAAATTTGGGATCAGTTTACAAAAAAAGGTCATTTTTATGCAGTTTAAGTATACCCAAAATCCAAGTAGGTCGGTAGATATATACAATCTATGTATTATTTTATTTGGATTTTTAATTTTATTGTTAATAATGTCGGAGTTTGTAGATTGCGTCCCAGATGCAGGTAAACGATTTTTTGCCCACCTTTTCCACGTGCCGATTGCGTCCTATTGTATAGTAGGTAAGCGTTAATGTGACAGATAAATTGACATATTAAATCTAATATTTTTGTCACACATGTTGTGGAGGTATATTTAAACACGAATTGATTTTAACTTGATGAGCTTACGAACATTTTATCTGAAGGCTGGTACTCTTATCGATTTACGATCACGTAGCGATTTAGTACGTCAAGTGCCTTAGAATCAAAAGATACTTTAAAGTTTAGACTTAATAATAAATATAATTTTTAGTGAAAAAAATAAGGAAATCCGTATAATTGATAAGTTTAAATATCGTTTTCACAAAATTTTGGACAATGATGTCGAGCGTTGGAGTTGCGCAAATAAAAAATGCAAATATTATACTTATATATCATACAACAGGACGCAATCGGAACATATAAAGGTAAGAAAAAATAATTTACCTATCTGACTTGTGGACGCAATCGACATACTGAAAAGGTATGAAAGGTTGAAACAGGACGCAATCGAATGACGCCCAATAATGTATACATATATTTCACACACAATTTTAAGAGGACTTCGAAAATTAAAATGTTTTATACATCTACACGGCGCGTATTATATAATGATATTTTGTATGGACATTTTTTTAAAGTATGATTGAATTGAATTGAATTGTTTTAATTTATTATATGATAATAATATATTTTATGAGTTATTTCAAAATAATATCTTATTATTTTATAGATACTTAGCACTGATGGGATTAGTTTTAATTGCGATTGGCACAGGTGGAATAAAACCATGTGTTTCTTCATTTGGCGGTGATCAATTCGACCTTCCTGCTCAAGAAGTTTATCTACAAAAGTTCTTTTCCATATTTTACTTTTCTATCAACGCAGGTTCTCTTATATCAACATCAGTAACACCGGAGCTAAGAAAAGACGTACAATGTTTCGGCCGAACTTCATGTTTCCCCTTAGCTTTTGGTGTACCAGCTGTGCTAATGCTGGTCGCGATTTGTAAGTAACATTTATATATTTCTGTGTATCTTCGAGTAAATTGATTTTCTGCTTAGAATATTTTTTACAGAGTTCACACCATCACTAAACAAATTATTTTATTTTTAATGTAATATTAATAATGGACAGAGCCCAACAGAACAAATAAAAAGTACAGTAAAAATAATACCTATAATAATGAACGAATTTATGATGCTTTGGTAGTAGTGGTTGCGTATTAGACAGAGTGTTGGTTAGGTGCATTAAAATTAAACGGTCTATTAGATGATTGCGGCAATAATTCGTAGTGCATGTTTGGGTACAACATAAGTACACTCATGTTGTACACTTGTACCCAACTTGCAGTGAGAGAGGGAACTAGTGTAAGTTTGAGAAACTCGGAAGTTATTACGGGAGAGAAGGTGCATCAGAGAGCCATTTACAAATTTATCTACGAATTGTAACTTATCATTAGAACATCTATCGTCTAGGCTTGACAAACCTATATAATTCAAGGAGAACAGATGAATTATTGTAGTTGATGAATGAGGTGGGAAATATTCAGAGCAAAACCGGTAAAGGTGGTAGAAATATGCATGGGTCGACATATAGAATGGAACAATACTCAAGTATGATAAACAAAAGAGTAGTACAGAGCCCCGAGAAAAGAAGATAGTCTGAATTCAAAAGAAATACTTAAAAGTAATCACTTGAAAACGGCTGGATCGATTTGATTCATTTCTTTCTTATGTTCGTAATTGTCCGAATAAGGTTTGTACGGAAAGAAAATTGTTTTAAATTTCCTTGGTCATCACACAAGGGTTGATTTATGACGAAAATCGAAAATGTTCTGTTAACAATGTTTTGCCATTGGTTACTCGGGCAGATGAGATAAAGTCCTTTTATGGCTTCGAATAAAGAAATTATATCTTAAATTAAATATGATAGTTGAATATAATATTGTATCTGTATTTTGAGAAAATTTCAAATTGTTCTCTTAGAGATAATACCAGGAACGTTTAAAGAGTAGTTTGAACCACTTTCGATTTATATCAAGTCTATACTATCCAGTTTGCCACAGGTGGCAGGTGGATTGTCCATCTCGATCAAATTAGTTCACAGAGTAAGGTTATATACACCGAAAAAAATTTGTCGTGAGCTGAAATATACTAAAACCAAGATACACTAAAAGTGCTGTAATTTATATATTTTTTATTTTTTCACACAAATGGATGTTGATTGTTGTTTTATTCGAAGTTAATGGACTCAAAAGCTATTACACTGGAGCGTTTTCATTAAAAGTTATATGTATAGAAATAGATTCCTTGAGACTATTGAAGGGCGTTTATTGATTATTCTTCAACCTTTATAGGTAGCTAAATGGTAGCTCACGGATGAATTTTTTTCAGCTTACGAAAAAAAAAATTGTTTTGTTTATTTAAATGGTTACCATCAGTTACATAATAATATATTTTATTACTATTACAATTGCAATTAGTGAAAATATGGCCTATTACAATTTTTTTACAAATACATTTATAAAAAGAACAAATCTTTGGCACAGGCAATTCCAAATTTAGTAAACCTAGCATTTCTACAGTGCATAAGTTATTATTACCTTACAATTTAAGATTACACTTATAAATATCATACATTTATACAATAACTGTGTTATATTTACATTAATATCTTATATCTTTTTTTTTTATTCCAAACTAGTTATTTTCGTATGTGGTAAACGATTATATAAGATAAAAAAACCAGAATCGAACGTCATTGTAACATCTTTTTCATGTATTTTTGTAAGTTTTTATTTTCATACACAATATATACATTAAATGTAATACATTATAAAACAGATTAAAATACTAATGATTGGAAATACAGTCATAATTATTTTATACAAATAATTTAATCGTTTAATCGTTACTGAGTACTATTAACACTATAATGATTATAGACAAATAATAATACATACTTACTTTAATACAACTAGCACTGATTTAAGATTTTATAATATACATTTATACGACGTTACTATGTTTAGCATGCGATAAAAAGAAGACTATCATATGTTTCATCAAATACAAAAAAAAGTCATTGGTTGAATTATGCAGACGACAAGTTTTCGGAAAAAGACATTTCAGATATACGCGCTGCTCTAGATGTGATGTATTTATTTATTCCGTTCCCATTCTTCTGGGCTTTATTTGATCAACAAGTAAGAATTACAATTTACTAATCGTTATCATTATTATTCTAATTTTAATATTTTATTTTAGTCAGAAAAATGATTAATTATTTATATTATTCAAATAAATCAATTAAATAATAATGGGAGGTACCTAGTTGTTAATCTAATCGGCTTTTAAAATTAGTTGTTATTAATTAATTACTTAATTATTTTAATTTAAATACATACAAGTATGTATAAATATTGATTTACCGACTAAAATTATTACCTACTTGAAAATTAAATTATTATTTAAATTTATCAATTTAAAAATAGTATTTTATTATACTGAATATCTGTAATAATTTTATTTTAAAGCAATTTTAAAACAAAACAACATTTCACAGAATATCTCTTACTTATATTATCTATGTTTATTTTAGCTATATAATATAAATTATAATATACACCGTGATTGTATTTTGTAAAAAACTTTCTAGGGTTCTCGTTGGACATTACAAGCTACTTTGATGAACGGTAGGATTGATTTTCTCAACTGGACAATGAAGCCTGATCAAATGCAAGTGATGAATCCTCTTCTCGTTTTATTATTTATTCCGTTTTTCGAAACCGCTGTTTATCCTCTATTAGCCAAGATTGGTATTAAAAAACCATTACAAAAAATTGCATTAGGTGGTTTTCTTGCCGCTTTTGCTTTTGTACTATCTGCTGTTGTACAAAACAAGATTATTGTAAGTACCTATATAAAACGTAATAGTGTGATACGTTAAGTAGTTAATAATTAGCTAAAAAAAAAAAAAAATTTGGATAAAGTATTATTAGGTTTAACGTCTACGTATAGTATTGGCATTTACCAACACAATGTATTGAGTAGATATTGTGCATCCGTGTAACGGTAACCGATAATTCTTTCAGCTCGGGAACGATTTCTTATACAAAACATGGTAATGTACATTGTACATGGATTTATGCCAAAAGTTTTAATGGCGTGATTTATATACATTTTGAAAGCCTTGACTTATTCTCTTAATATAAACTTAAGACTTAAAATTGTAAGTAAGTAAAATTCTTAAAATTATAAGTAAATAGGTACAATAAATAATTATGCCTTTTATTTTTTAAATACATTAAGAAGTATATAATATTTAAATAATTTTATAAACAACATACTAAACTCAGAATCGTTGTATGGAATGCTTTCTCGTTTAATATCACAATTTTTGATTCACAATACCTACACCATTGTGTATGGCGCTGAAATGAGAAAAGTAAGACGAGTACCTGGTCTCTGTATCCAAATATTTTTAAATTTTAGCATTTATATTATAATTATTTTATAAGAGATCATTTTTTATGCATATATTAAATAATATCTGTTTATAATAAGTTATTCATTTTTGTAATGGTTGATTCTTTTATCAGCGAAAAACTCATTAATCATTATCTCAAAAACTACCTACCAAATTTTTTTAAATGGACGACTACGAATTGGTCCCCAATTGTCGAATTGGTTCACGGGTTGTCTACAGGTAATATATGAATTGGTTCCCCCAAGCTTTCATGATAATACAACCTTGTTAAATTAACTTTTCAAATTATTATGATACATTCAACCAGCAACAATTTCCTTCCCATTTATTCAGACTAGGGGTAGAACTGTCTAAAATGCAAATAAGTTCGAATAGTTCAAACACTATCTCGAATACCTAGGTATGGTTAAAAATGGTCAAAAACATATGGTGTTCTATAAATCGAAATGCTTGTATATAAGTAGTACTGTTATTATTGGGAAGTAGGCAAAAAACTAAGGGAAAAAAATTGTTATCTTTTACACCATGAATGGTAAAAATCTGGTAAAATAATTTTGGGCAACTTTTAAAAGTTCCATCAACAAACATTGTTTTCATTTTGCTGAGTATCTCTAAATTATATGAACAAGTAAAAATTATTAATCTTATAAGTTACGTATCTTGTAACAGTAGTTGTGTGCTGATAAACTGATAAGTAATTTTATTCGGGAACCAATTCGAACAATTGTATACTGGAAAGTATTTTTTTCGGGAACCAAATCGTACACTTCAATTGAACCGGGAACCAATTTCACGTTTGCCTTTTAAATACATTTATTTCTAATATTTTTATTTTATAAATCGAAATTCTCAAAAATAAAACATTTGCTTCAGAATACAAAAAAAAAAATTGTTTTTGAAAAAGTATAAGACATAAACATATTGTTTTTAAAGATCAATAAAGTGTGCACAAATATATTTTCTTAAACTTTGATATTTGTTGAGATAATGAATATTTATTATTGCTAAAAGAATTACACCTTGTATATAGTATAGACACTTTATTTTTAGATTCCATTTTATGATTTTCATATTACTCATTTTTGAGTTTCAGTCGTACATAATATGTACTTATTCGTATACAGGATGATCCAACAAGTATCCTCACTCCATTTTTTTTTTAATAATGAAGTTTTTCAAAATCTGATTTTTGGAATCTTTAAATATACTCAAAGACCATATTTTCATATTCTTGAGATTTTTGTGCCACTTAAGTAGTGTCCTGTGGCGATACGAATCTTAATTTTTCGAATGAGAGCCCCACTTTTTTCTTTAAATTATTTAGCGGATAATTTTTTTTGAAAATTTTGATGTATCGAAATCAAAATTCGAACAAGTGGTTGCCTAGTTATTGGAAAATTTGCACTAAGGATAATAGTCCGTAATAGGGATATGCGTATACAGTTCTACAAATGGAATAAGAAAAATAACTAAATAAATCAAGGAGGATTTTACTTGCTATTTACCTAAATGTTTGACTAAATAAATATGAAATTACGTATTATTTTATATTATGTGTATAGACTATAGATAACAACGTATTGTGCATAAGCATATCCTTCTTCCTTATTATAAATTATACTATCCTTAGTTCAAAATGTGTAATAACTAGAACACTACTAGGTCGAATTTTGATTTCAATACATCAAAATTTTCAAAAAAAATATCCGCTAAATAATTACAGTAAAAAAATGGGGTTCCCGTATGAAAAACAAAAGTTTGTATCGCCACGGGACACTCCTTTAGTGGTACAAAAAATCTCAAGAATATGAAAATATGGTCTTTGAGTATATTTAAAGATTCCAAAAATCAGATTTCGAGAAACTTCATTATCAAAGAAAAAAGGGGGTAAGCATACTTGTTGTATATTACAATATTATGATTTATGATATCTTAGCTGCTTAAGAAATATCATATAAAATATTAATAATTCAATTTAGTTTTATTATTTTAGGGTGGATCGAACCAAATATCATCTGGTGAAGGTCATCTAAGAGTTTTTAACGGATTTGATTGCAACATTACAATCAATTCAACAAATTTACCTGTCTACAAATTAAGTTCTCTTGAGACTTTAGAGATAAGATATACCCCAACTTCTAACGAAACTTCATTTCCAATTGTTTTCATCGCTGATCCTTCGTGTTCTCCGACTTTGTCAACATTAAATTTAACGAGCAGTGTTTCTATTGTAGAAGGAAAGGTTGGCTTAAAAATATTTTTTTAATAACGCATAGAACTTTAGATATGAAATAAAAAATTAAATTGTTATTAAAAATTATAGGCAACGTCATATTTTTTAACTCGTTCAAAAGATAAACTTGAATTAAAAAGAATTGGTTATTTTGATGACATGACTAAACCTAAGAACGGCAATCCAATTTTAAGGTAAATCAATTTTAAGTTATCATAATTTATACCCTTAGACGTAAATAGGGCTCTCAAATGCAAAATAGGTTTTGAGCCCAAAAGGGTTTAAGAACAAAAAGAGTGAGAGATTTATTTTCCACCCACCTACATACACACAATTTTATCCATGATACAATTCAAAACAATCACAAATGAAATGTAAATTAATTAATTGTACTATTGTATAAAATTAAATAGTAAAATTATATATATATCTTCTTCATTATTAATGGTTTCTACTTAATTCTTAAGTGTATTCTGTTATTAATTGTGTATTCGTGTGTATTGAACGTTCCTTTTGAACGACTTGACTAATTGAGGTAAAAGTTATACGAATAGATTAGTTGAGTCTTGGAGTATGCCTATAGCTTATTTTTATTTCATAACTTATATAATTCTTTAAAATTATGTAACATATGTCTTAGAGCCAAACTCTCCTAGGATCCCCCCTCTATTTATAACCACGGTTAATGGTTATATCTATAATTGTATGTCAATTTAATCCATTATATTGTTTTTATAGAATTTTAAACAGCGATGATTTATCTAATAAAGTTTTAAAACTCAAAGATAAAGACAACAACAACACGGCAACTGAAATTAATTTAAAATCCTTAACAACTAAAACGGTACCCATTGGAAAGTAAGTAATAAATATTATTGTTTTGTATATTATTATTTATTTCATAGATAATACAAGACTAGAAATAACTGGAAATATAAAATGATTTATCATTGAGCCTAAATTTAACAAAAAATGTTTAATTTAAATTCCCAATATATTTCAAAGGGGGTTTTTTTAATAATTATTTCGTTGTAATTAAAAACATTATTTGCGGCCCCGTGGGAACATAAACATTTTATGTGGTCCATTCATTTTTTTGTACTTCATGTCATAAAAATATTTAGATTAATTTTAATCTATTTCGTATTTATACTATATTATCATGAACCCATTCTCATTATTCTATGGTAAGGTAATAAAACGCAAAAGTTAATAACTATAATCAATAATAAAATAATATGATAGAAACATACACTATTGTAATACGGACTTAATTCTGGAGATATATTTTAATTTAAACAACTTAACCATCATATTCTCGGAAATTATTAATATATTATATACTTTATAACTTAATATCGTACCTGTTTGACTTTTTAGGGCTGTTGGTGATTAATTGAATAAGCTAACCTTTATCAATATATAAATAAATATAATTTAAATCTGTGTTAAAATTGTATTAAAAACATGTAAATTATCATTCAATCACTAGATTTTGACTATACTTGTATAGAAGTCAACGGTTAGATTAAACTGAATGAATTATAATTGATTATTGATTGAAATTATATATTTATAATGTACATATTTACGTATTATAGTATATATCATTTTATGTTTGTATAATTTATACAAGGTGATCCATTTAAATGTCTTCATCATTATTTGGAAAAGAATTTTTCAGTCGAAAAATTAAATTTTTACAATTTCTTAGGTATCATTTTTTTAAGTTTTTTACTTTTTTTGAATGACTACACATTTTTAATTTCATATTCCTCAACAGAATATTTTTCGGAGTACTTTGGTGTATACAAATTTAATTTCATACGAGTATTTAATGAGTTATAACTTAAAGATGTATCTAAACATTTAAGAATGATAATGATCAATAATTGTAAAGACTATATTCAATATTTTCAAAAATGTTGTTTTGCAATTTATGTAAAAACAATATTTTGAACGTAGATTAATAACCTTAGCAGTTGATGAGTTGAAGCATTTATTTCTAGTAAAAATATTTTTCCAAAAAACTTAAATTTTTCAAAATAACGAGTGTGACATTGATCACCTTCTACATTTATTATATTTTTATTTTATTGAAGATATACTACGCGCTTCGGGTACAAGAGTCATTAGTTTTGTATTAAGTACCAACCGTTTTCTATCTTTTGTTTTTTAACAAATATAGGTAAATGCCGTAAATATTAAGAATATTAATTATGTTGAATTATATAGAGATAAAAATAGAGGTAAACAGAAAAAATGTTTATGTATTTATGTTGTAGGTGCTTTTAAAGTACCTACTACTTTAAACATTATACATAAAAAAAATGTTAAATTCAATGAAAGTAACAAGTGTTATGTAGATACTTAGTACTTCTATAGTTTAAATAAATAGGTTAGTAGGTATAATGATAGGTGATTATAAAACACGATTACGTGTGAAGTATGTTTATTTATATGAAAAAACTCTGTTGAACCTATTTCGATATATATAAACAAAAAACAGTCATTAAATATCTGATTAAACAACTTTTTAGATATAAAGCCTTTTTTGACAACGAATTTATCTCAGACTTCAATTTTTTACCGGCTAGTGTAAACACGCTTGTATTACAACTTAATTCAGGACACACAGTAAGTATTCTTTGGTCTCATAATTTTTAGCATTGAATTTTAATTAATTTTAAGTGCATAACTTATAGGATTCAAATTTGGTAGTCCTAGAGAAAGGTAATTTTATTCATATAGCATGGCAATTACCTCAAATTATTGTAATGACCGCTGCAGAGATTATGTTTTCGATCACGGCGTTAGAATTTGCATTTACTCAAGTAAGTTGAATTTTAATTACGTTTATTCTATAATTTAAAGCATATAATAATACATAGTATTATTATTTTAAAGGCGCCTACAAGCATGAAATCCTTACTGGCAGCAGTTAATTTGTTGACGGTAGCGTTAGGAAATCTAATGGTAGTGATCGTGTCTGAAGTACGGTTTTTCGAAAATCAAGTATGTAAAAATCAGTGTGATTGTACGTAATATACACATTCTCAATATGGGAGGGGGAATTTGGATGTGTGTAGGATATCTGACTTTAAAATCAACACTCTCATTGTTTATGATATTTATGTTATATTAATTCTTCTTATTTTATATAAATAAACTAATATGTACATAGCGATTATTAAATATGTGATTATTAGACTGATGGGGTGTGCATGGGGGGGGGGAATTATTCATTATTTAATTCTCGATCATTGGACTAACTGAAAAAATAGGAGGCTTTAGCCCCAAAGTTTATTCGTTGAAATTGTGCTACTGATAATATTATTTGCTTACCTATATCTATCTTATTTTTTTCAGACCTATGAATACTTGCTATTTGCTGGATTAATGGTGCTCGATATGTTAATATTTATTTTAATGAGCTGTAAATATAAATATAAAAATCTGAATGACCCCGTACCCATTACACACAATGAGCAAAACAAGCAAAACTAAAGGTATACTATTTTTTTTATATTGTGATATATTGCAGATAATTTATATTTAATCAATTGATTAATATTTTACTATGTATACATTTTAAGTATGACTGTATAAACTACTATTCAAATTCCCGTATACACTTGTTTTTATAAAATATGTATTTATATGTTATATCTATATAAATAAGTTAAATTATCTATATGTATTATATTATTACGGATTTTTTGACAATATAGATAGTTTATTTTGCTATTATTGAATATTATTAAAACTATTTTTAATTAATTTGAAAATAAATAAAATGTAATGTGTTATTTATTTAAATTGTATATCATATTTAAATAAGTTATAATATTGTAAGTAAAAGCTATAGGAAAATTATAATTTTTTTTATTAAAAGATAAAAACAACCAAGTAAAAGTAGAGGATTTTTTTTTGTTTTAAGTTATTTATACAAATTTGTGTATGAATTTATAGTATATAGTTATCTATTTTAATTTTAGTCGGCTCGGTAATCTAAATTATAGTTTAGATTATATATTTTACTCGTATAATTATAAGATTATAATATAGGTATGTTGGCAGTTAGGCTATAAGTAGAAAAATTCTGTACTGTAAGAATCTGATATGCTCGGTTGATGTGTGTCATTGATCGAATCGCCTAGACCCCCCCCATTATCTTCGCTACCATCAAATTCGTCTTCCCTACCAATTTACACAACAATGAACAAGTTACTTAACTTTATAGTCAACGGTAACCATATTAAACGATTTTGGCTCAATTAAAAAAAAAAATTAAAAAAATTATAAAGTGATTTTTATATATTATGATATTTTGGAGATACTGTTTGCCTGTTATATGCGATAACTGATGAACAAAACTAACCCTAATTTAAATATCTCTTAGAGTCTTAGGTCTTACCATATGTATGGCTTATTGGTATATATCTTAAGTCTTGTTGGTGTATCCTTATGTATATAAATATCTGTGAACTACTTCCAATGGCTACTGTTTCAAAGGGTAACCTCTTTACTACTTCCAAATGTCATTTTATTAATTTATATTTACTATCTTTGTTTATTTGACTGTTTTTACAACACGCTTACATATCAATACAATTTTAAGAATGATTAGTTCTGGGAACATTAAATTATAACACATTGGTACCTATAAATTGTAATTGGGTGATACGGATGATACGGTTAATATTTATTGCGATTAAATTATTACCTGCATAAAACCATAAAGGTATGAACAATATTCGAATATGGTACTTAACTCGAAGTTACATATACATTGCCAATAAATAGGGTTAAAACAAATTATATTGGTCAAATTTTATAATGAATTTACTACAGCTAGAACATCAAGTTTGTATTAACAGGTAAGGATTTTTTGTGTGTTCCCAGACATCTAGATTTTATTTGTAACAGTTTTGAAGAATAGGAATATAATGTATAGTAGGTACTAGCCACTGGGTAGATCTATTATTGTACTATCACAGGCGAAAATACTACAATATTTTTCAAAATATTGTTACTATTGAATTTAGAAAAACGTGGGACATAGTCCATTAGCCCTCGCAATCCCCGACTACGGTATCCATATTATACAATACAATTTATCATTTACACATATAAATATATTTATATATTTCATAATAATTATGTAAATTATTTACATTCAATACTTTTATATCTATCAAGTAAACGGAGTAGCTGACAAACATATATGACATATTATATATTTATATATATTCATTACACTTGGAAAACTACTACTCATAGTTGCAGGCTGGGTCATATAATATAGTTCCCTTATCACATTCCTTTCAGTTAAGTGGACTTTCTGTGGAAAAACAAAATTTCTTATCGTCTGTAACACCTATCAGTTGCCTACCTAATAGGTACTTGTCATACAAATAACATTTAAATAATTGTGTTTTTCAACAATTTTTATTGGGTTAAATGTCAAAATTGTAGAAACATATTTTATTGGGTTAAATGTCAAAATTGTAGAAACATATTTTATTTATCTAGTAGGTAGATACTCATTTGGTGAAGGCTTGATTTGGTATGGGGGGTCTTATATCTAAGTCTCACCGGTGCATTCGAATTGCGTCCCTAAATTATATTTTATCCGAGTTGCGTCCGCGGTTTTCTCGTGACATGGATGAATTGTGTCCACGGGTTTTTCAGCGACTAAGTATTATGTTTGGTGATAAACTCGTAGATAACTTCGGTTATTGATATCTTATCTGTAAATATAGTTGAAAATTAATTTTTTTAATTAATTACAATATACGGTTACAATTTTTAACCTCACCATTTTTTAAAGTCTACATTGTATTTCAAGAATTTATTCAAAAAAACTATGACTCAGTTTAAAAACAAAAATATAACACGTCTTGACTTTGTTCAAAAATTGGCATACAAAAATTTACCACTTTTTAAAATCAACATTACATTTTAAAATATATAATATTATAATATACACTATACAATATACAATTACAATTTTAACCACACCATTTATACAAATGTGAAATGACAGTCCTCAGTCAGTAAAATTGGGAAGGCACATATTATGTATAATATTATTAAATTAATCAATTATTAACCGGGATGCAACTCATAAATGTCTCGAAAAAATTGTGGACGCAACTCGGATATGTTGTGCAAAAACCACGAACGCAATTCGGATATCACGATTTTTATTTTTGTATTCTGGGATGTTTGTATATTCGTATGCTGCCAGTCTCACATATCTCACTGTTTGTGTTATTGCCTATATAATATAATATAATAATCAGTCTGACAAAATAGCGTATCGTTTTATGCGTTTCGCTAATAAAATACTACCCGCTAAAATATTTGAACAATTAATTGGGATACTGAATTATTTGGTTGTGCTATTGATGAAGATTCAATAATAAAATGGACACCGATCTCAATAGACTATAGTACCTATATGCGACATTTGGGCTTCAGGCACAATATCCTTTCTTTCGTTTACTTTCATGCAAAGTACTGTGTATACTATTACTTATTAGTATAGCGTTCATTAAATGTGACAAATAATTGAATACTTTAATAAATGAGTGTAATGACTGAGTCGTTTATACATTTTTTACATTTTTCACTCACTTATACTATTTGCAGTGTCACAATTTCTCGAAAAATGCTTAGAAATTACGGCCAGCTCAGTCGTTCATTTTGTAGTTTTGTAATAATTATTCATAGACCATTTAGCTTATATTTATAGACCGACGGGAATACTTCGGACGGCTAACATTATTCAAATAATAAAAGAAAAACATATGATTTTATCACATCCCATTACTGTGCCACTGCCGCTATATTTACATGTGCGGCTGCTGTCTCGTATTTTTAATAGTCAGTATAGAGGTGGGCCATAGCCTTTTTTCAAAGACCATTTAATTTGCACTAAATTTTAAGTGAATCCAGTGTAAAGTTAATAAAATTGAAAATTGAGATACATTTTTTTTTTATCAATATTTGTTTCAAAAATTAAGTTTACTTTTTTAATTTACCTACTGCATTCTAATATGACAACAATATTAGTGAGTTACATTATTTTTATAAACGATTTCAAATTTTAAAACCTTTTAGTATACCTACCTATTTTATTATAAATAGAAGTATCCGAAATCAGTTTGGTATATAATCGGAAATGAGTTTTGCGAAAGATTTAGTTATTTTGGACTTAAAGGTACCTATTTTATCTAACTATACCTATATATAAATATAATAGGTACATATTAATTAATACTTATTAGTTACGTTTTACTACTAATTGGTTTTTAGCTGTATTGGTTTTATTTTTCACGACGATACAAGAATATGACCATGATACTTCCACGATTATATTTCATATGTTTTTAGTCTGTGCATACTTATCACCATTGTTTGGTGCCATCATTGCAGATTCATATTGGGGGAAATATAAGTAAGTAAAATTGTTGGAATAATAACCTCTTAAATATATTTACTATATAAGTATATAAAGCAAAAGTACGTATAAAAATAGCTTCACGCCTTTGCATACATCGTAATGGAATAATGGATGTGTGATCAATTCCAAAAATATTTTTAAGGGTTTTATACTTTTATGGCTATCTATAGGAGAGTCTAGGGCCTTGCACCCGAATCATTTATTCGGGTTTCGGGTACTAGATGTATTCGGGTGTCCAAACACCGAAATAAAAAATGTAAACAAATGTTTGGATTTTAATAACCGTTATTATACAGATTAATATTGGGTAGTACGGGTGTTGAGTAGTGTAGAAAAAATACAACTCGACATTTGTTTTAGACCAAACACGCTTATAAGTTTAACGTAGGTACAGAAGTTGCATTTTTGTAAGAAGCTATATGTGCGATATGTAAGAACAAAAACAATTTGAAATTAATTAGGTACCTATTTATTTTATTGGAGTCATTTCTATTAGACATTATTCAATTTTAAAAATATTTTTTAATTTTTTGTGCTATTTATACATTTTTGAAATTTTTGACTTTTTTTCGAATTGTGTTGATGCAAATTTTAATTCTCGGTCGAAAAACTTGAAATTGTATTACAAACTTCCACGAAATAAACACTCTAATATCAAAAATACGTAATCACAATTCTGATTGTATGATTTGGTAGCGTCAGTGAAATTATAGTAGGTACCAAGAAATAAGAATTCTTGAGAATTTACATTCAAATGTTATCCACGTCGTTGCGAGGGTTTTATAAACAAATGTACACAATACAATTTTCATTATTTAATACATCTAATATATATTTTATACTAAAAGAAAAAAAATTGATACAAAATGTTGTACCTATGTTATACTTCCAAATAATTAGTAGTAATTAATCTATCCTTCATTCCTAATTTAATTAAACAGTTCCTTTACTCAACAACTTAATTAATATTTAATTATTTAAATATTATATTTATTTTTTTAAATTGTATGTATATTACTCTAAAGTCGAAATGTGTCTTGTCAATGAATAATACCTATGTTTAATTTTACAGAACCATCTTTATCTTATCTATTGTACATGCGATAGGAAATATCTTAGTGGCTGTTGCATCGTTTGTCACATCGATAAGTTTAAATTTCCAAAGGTATGGTGAGATATAAACAGTACTGATTCCATAACTGATGTTGTGGTTATTTATTTTTGTCTTTTGATGAGGACTCGGAATTATATGTAAATACATATTTTCATTATGACGTGATACATTAATTTCGGCAAGCCATCAATTTGTTTCACAGGATTTTTGATAAAATGAGCTCCATTTGATTTTACATATTTTTACATATTTCACAACTATTCATTTTTTTCTCACATATTTAGACAATTTTACTGTTTGAACGTGAATTCTCCAGAGTTCAGATAGATTGAAAGCGTATCATAATTAAGCCAACTTAATAGTTTACGACTTGTGTAGTGCGGTATCGTCTCTTCATTGGTTCGACGGTGTCAACCGGAAGTATTTTTGACGTGGCTATACGTATAAATACGGTATAAAGCAATTTTACGATAGAATCACCGGTCATTTGAATTTGAAAATGTATTTATACATGTTGTTATAAAGAGCAATCAAGATAATTAGATAAATAATCATTTTTTTTATTGAATTTTATTATACTATTAGTTATTGTTATTACATATTTTTTTATATGTAATACATATTTTGAACTGTTTAGCACACATATATGTATATTTTTTCAGTAGATCAATTTTTTTTTGATAATACATATTTGAAACTTTTTACCACATATTTATGTACATAGTCTTGTTGTATAAATGCATACTTTAGCTATATAAATACATATAAATCCGAGTCCTAGTTATGACCATTAAAAGTTGTTTAAGAAGTTTGGAACTTCCGTAAATGTATTATGTATAAAAATTCTCTGATTTTATTGGAGCACGCTTGTACCTATAATATTAGAGAGCCATGGAGATATCAAAATTGCATTTTTATCTCTTAACAGATTATTTACGATAGTTGGTCTACTGTTAACATCAATTGGAGCAGGTGGTATAAAACCGTGCGTCTCTTCTTTTGGCGGTGACCAGTTCGTAATACCAGATCAAGAGGATCATCTGCAAAAGTTCTTTTCTGTATTTTACTTTACTATTAATGCGGGGTCATTGTTGTCGACGTTCATTACACCAGAGCTGAGGAAATCAGTCCAATGTTTTAGAAGAGATTCATGTTTTCCATTAGCATTTGGGATTCCTGCTATACTTATGTTGATCTCAATAGGTATGGTATTTAGCAGAATTTATGACCCTGCAGTGAATGCTTTAGGAACGACTATAATGTTTACTATATATTGTTTATTAAAAAATTATTAGTAGTATGATGTACCGTAGGTACATAATAATTCTGCTCATAAATTAATGCAATATATATTTATATATATATATATATTATATATATATACGTATATTGCATTAATTACCTGTATACAATAAAATAATAGTTATGATAGGTAATAATAATCATATGGTATATTAATTATTAAAACTCTTTTTTTTTTTTAAATTTATGAATGTAAAGTATTCTTCGTAAGTGGAAAAAGTATGTATAAGATCAAGAAACCCGTGTCCAGTATCATCACAACTTCAATTGGATGCATGTTTGTAAGATAATAAAAAAATAGCTTTTGCAAACATTTAATTTGATTTATACCTTTGAATATATGATAATAAGTTATATAATTCATAACGTTATTCTAAATTTATACATATAAATTACATAGATTTACAGAATATGTTGAATTTTATATTATTCTCGTTTTTCATAAAAGTACGCATTGAAAAAAAAAATAACAGCTTCTTCAAATGAACCGAAAAGAAAAGATTGGTTAGAATATTCCGATGATAAGTACAATACACATGAAATATCTGAATTGAGATCAGCGTTGGACGTTATGTATTTGTTAATTCCAATTCCGTTGTTTTACACACTTTTTGATCAACAAGTAAGTTATTTCATAAAATATGTTAGTTTGTTAGTGTCAAAAATGTAATTAATTAAATTAGTCACTGCGTATCAGCCGTATCTATATACTAAATAGTTACATATTATTATTCATTGTATATTGGATTAAGGAATCGAAGTAGTAAAAACATCCCTGTATCTAAAGATAAATCATTTAAAGGTGTTTTTCACTACTTATGGTTTCAATGACCCACAGCCTATAAATTATGTTTCATTTTTATGATTTATTTTAGACACAAAATATGTAAGATAATATGTATATTTGCAATAATTAAAACAATTTATATTTCAAGGGGTCTCGTTGGACATTGCAAGGAACACTAATGAATGGCAAGATAGATTTTTTGAATTGGTCAATCAAACCTGATCAAGTACATTTAATTAATCCGTTATTCGTTTTGGTATTCATACCACTTTTTAATGGTGTTGTCTATCCAATCTTGTATAAAATCGGTATCAATACACCTTTAAAAAAAGTCACTCTAGGTGGCCTATTTGCTGCATCATCGTTTGTATGTGCTGCTGTCGTGCAGTGTATTATTATTGTAAGTACCTACCTTACAAGTAATTAATTATTATCAAATCTAATATGAATATATTTTAAACAATTTAATTAACCTGGACCCTCAACTAAAGTCTAAACGCCAAACACTAATTAATCGTCTTAACTTACTTCGACCTATACTCAAATCAAAAATGTAAATTCACACAAAATCAGTATTATACAAATCACTCTTAAGGCCAATTTAGGCTTATGGCATGCAAATTTGGGGCTGCGGCAAACCTTCTCAAATCCGATCAACTCAAACCTTCCAATCAATCTCTCTCCGACTTATAGCCTCAGCTCCATGGTATATAACAAATAAAGCACTACATAAAGACCTAAAAATTGATACAGTTGACCAACTAGCCAAAAATTACTATGTCAAATTTCATGCTAAACTACGATACCATCCAATCCACTCATCTCACACCTATCGTCACACACACACTACCCGACAACCCTCCACGCCGCCTCAAAAGACGATGGTGTAGAGACCTCCATAATTAAGTAAAATCAGGCTTTGGAGGGTTCTATCTTCTATCAATGGATTGTCCCCTCCTCATGTAAATAATGTCATGTAATTTTAATATTCGTAATGTATTTATCACATTTGCTTATTGTATACATTTGATACAGATTGTAAATATATATTTTAGAAATAATACAAAAAAAAAACAATTTAATATGAATCTTAAAGTATCCTTCTCAAAAACCTCATCTAAAATGATTTGTGTTCAGTGACAGTTTAATTGTTTTTTTTACTAATAACAGTTTGGTATTTATCTATAGTTCTAAACAAGGTAATAATTTCCATAAATTAATTCGGAGAATTTTTCTAGAGAGTGGGTAAAGTTGCAAATATCTAAACTGGCATTGCAAATTGTTGCAAACCAGTTGCATTTATAATAAATATTTATTAATGGTGATGGTGAAGGTTCGAGGTTGATACGTCTATGTGGGGGGACCCCTAACCGAAAAACTTTTTTATCGAGAAAGGTTTAAGGTTTCAAAGTTCAATATCTAGGTTCTAATTAGTTCCGAAATATTGGTAAAGGGTTGAAGTCAAAATGGTCATGCGGGGGGGGGGGGGGGAAAAA